TTTCTAAATTCTATAGTAATAATATCCAGGCTGTCTAGACTTTTGTTCTTTGGAGTCTATAGTTGTACTGTCACATAACTAGTTAGAGAAAGTTGGCACAGATACACAGGTCAGGGTTTCTGCTGATTTACTGAAGAGTCCATTCTGTAATTCTTAGACTTTAGCCATCATAAGAAAATTAAAGATACTTATGTTATTCTCCTGAGTTGATATAGTGCCTAGCACTGGTTTTGTTATGCCTTTATCAACATTTAGGTAGTCATCTTTAAAATCTAATTATCCTTATAAGCACATAAGAGGTACTCATCCAGAATATAAACTAGAAGGATGGTATTTTGCTAATACTACCCCTCCCACTCTAGTTGTGGAAAGTCTTTTGAAACGCTAATATATAAATTAGAAAGTAAATGCTGCATTGTTTCTCTTTTTTTTTTTTTTTTGTCAAGCTGGAGAAAGAGCAATAAGCTTTCTCCTAATGAAATAATTCTAGAAAATGCCATTATTTTACCGTAAGAAACTACAACTTGAGTTCTCAACTCTCTTCCAGTCACATTGTTATGTATCATCCTAGCTGTGCAACTACCAAGATCACTTGTTCTTTGAATTTTTTTTTTTCTTAATGTTTTGAATAATTTGTGAAGTTTGCTTCTGTGGAGAGGGTCCTGCAGAGCTTCTTAAGTAATGCTTAGCTGCTATTCCCTGGACAAAGACCAATTTCACCTGGCAGGGTTATTGTTTTATTAAGATTCTTGTGAAAAAGATATCCCAAAAATCTGTCTCTACAAATGAACTGTTTGAGGTTCTTGTAGAACTAGGGAACTAGACAAAAAAAATTTAAATACTGGAAAAAACAGTAATTTCAGCACTGTTTCTTTCACATAGTGCACTTACAGCCTTGTAAGAATTCATACTTTTGCCTTTTTAACAATATTGGCAGGTGATACTAGAGATGTCTTTTATCAATGATAGAAATTTTTAACTGATAAATAGACTATAAATGGACTACTTTATGGTTGTACTTCTCTGATACGCCATACTTAGAAAGCATTAGTAAGATTACATAGTTAAAAGGAAAAGAGAGTATTTCGAGAAGAGAGATAATATCTAAGACTTTTTATGAAGTCAAAATTAAGATATAAAGAAGCCATTAACATTTATTGCTTATAATGATAAAATGATTTGTACCTTATTTCTCAGGCCCTCAATAATTTACATTGAGAACATCTGAAAACATATCTAGGTGGAGATTCTCCTTATTCTGCTTTCTGCTGTGGAATCTGAGGTGATTCCACCTCTAAAAAGGCGCAGTCAAATATAGCGATTACTCCTGTGAGGCTAACTAAAGCAACAATTACATGAAGAGAAAGTCAGTAAAAATGGAAAGAGAAATTGGTAGCCTACTGCTTCCCTGCAAATTGGGTCTCCATTTTCTTTTTTTGTTAGTCAAATGATGTATTTTTTCAGTGTTGCAAACTGTTTTCATATCAAGAGGCTATGTTTTCAGTGCAGATACCCCACCCTGTGCATTACTACTTAGTGAGGTGTGTTTTTCAACAAATCCCAGAAGTGAACATACACGTAAACTTTCTTATTCTAGAATGTCACTGCAGAATGTCTGTGAGATTCACAGAGGAATTTTCAATGACTGAATTTACCACACACTTCTCATTTTTAGCTGGGCTGTTCCTTGCTGCAGAACAGTTAATTTGAGTGAATGTCTGTGCAGCTGTTCCAACAGGCACAGGTTCAACTGATTTGAGCATATTCTTCTTGTAGCTCTGTAGCCTGGTGCTCCACATTTGCTGTGGCATGCCACAAAGAAGCAAATGTTTCCCCAGATCTAATAAACTCCTTTTAGTAGTCTTGGAGGATTCTGACGAGAGTAGCTTATTTGATATAGTACCATTTAGGACAATGCTACAGAAGTAATCCTTCTGTACCATGTTTTCATGCTAGGCATAACTGGTAGGCAAGATATTTTATGTCTCAGGCAGCTTTTTTCATATAACCATGAGGCTGATTCAAAAGCCTCTGATTTTAATTATGAGCACATTCCCAAAATAGAGAGGAATTAAAACATTTGTAGAATTTAACTATTTTTATTCCATATTTAGATGAATTGCTCAACTATGCATTGACTTTGAGAGTTATGTGTTGGCTTTGACAACAACTTAGTGTCTATTTCAGTAAAGTAATTATGATCCCAACTAAATATTGACTCCAAATTGATCCATTTTACTTACAAGCAGTACTTGTATGCTTAATGTTAGGTATGCTCGAATACCTTGCTGGATGTTCCCCTTTACCTCTGGCCAACTAAGGCAGAGAGACCTAGCACTCAGCTTTTTCATCCCTAATATGCAAGTACTAAATATCTGATAAACACTGTTGAAAATAAATCGTATTAAGTATTATCCAGGATAAAGAATTGTTATAAGGCAGCAGATTTTTCTTCTTAAGTGCTAAATACACAAGTTAAGCATGCACATTGTTATAAGTAATGAGATGAAAAAGTGTCTGATGCCTCATCACACAGTTCTCTGTCTCTGCCTTCTACTGTCATCCCACTTACCTCTGACATCAAATCACGGTGGAAGACTGGCTCAACAGAGGCATCAAGCATTTGATTTGTATGACACAGTATATATCATCTATTAACTTTGTGAAATTGCCTCCAAATGTAGTCATGATAATTTCATAGGGAAGGATCTATGTAGACTACTGCCTTTTGTACTCTTTTTTTTTTTTTTTTCCTCTATGCACTTTTAAGAGTACTTCAAGAATGCTCAGGTGTAATTGTAAATTTTACTGTGTTCTTCTGTCTCCTTCCCCATCTTTGTTCTCCCTCTCTTGCTTTTATCATTCTATCCTGTGAGACTTCCTTTTTTCCGCAATGTTCATGTAAGAATAACATTATGCACATATGCATATATGTTTAGATACCACAGTGATATTTTAGAGACAAACTATTGGAATTGTTAATAACCCATGACTCCATTTATCCATATTGACATTTAAAGTTCTTGGGACTTGTGCAGGTAGATCATTAAGTGCCTAATTTATGAGTCCAGGTCGTTAAGTATGGCCAGATTAAGTCTTAGTAGTTTATTCACAAAGAACTTTATGAATTTCTATTTCAGTCTCACCAAGTCAAGCAGTTAAAATCAAAGAATGTGTTTGTGAAGACTGAAGTTGTCCTGTAAAGATTCTCAAAGAGAAAGAGTG